CACACACACACACACACACACACACACACACACACACACAAGTTTTATTAACACTCTGCTCACCCACCAACAAACACATACGAACACAAACACATACAAATGACAAACATCTGCGTTTTTATATTTCAATACCTGGCTGGTTATGCAGTCTCTCCACCAAAGGCAAAGTGTAGTGGATACGCACGGCGTACGTCACTATTGCAGCCACGCCCATCAACAGCTCCAACCCCTCGACCAAGACAGTTGTCAAGGTGCTCTTGCTCCGCCCCTTGAAGGTGTACACTGTTCTCAGTAGACGTATCCATCTTACCACGACTATTTGAGCGAAAATTTAAAAAAATGTATCAATGTGCATGCTTGTGATGTCATATAATGTACCGGCGATACCACAAAAAAATGTATCACTCTTGATTGTGTACAAAATCTAGTATTTTTTAGTCTTTAGGATTGTCCATTCAAGTGAGTAAATATTACTCTAGAAATTAGTTCTTGTTAAAAACATATACTAAGACTTCGGTACTTCAATTATCGCTGACAGCACCAATATTGAGAAATAGAAAATTGGCATTTTTTACCGACCACGAGGTGGGTTTTTAACCTTCTTCGTTTTTTTAGGACGTTAGGTCTCTGCAAACAAATGCCGCAATTATATTTCATCATTGTCCCCCAACCCACCTCACACCCGAGAAAGATAGTAGGTTTATTATATCAACATCAGAGAAATCGAGTCATCGGCATGCTCAGTGAGTTTCTGTTGTTGCCAGAATTTATTTTTTTTTGATAACGTAAACAACCAAATAACACACAATCATGTATACCCATACACATGTCTATATGATTTCTCAGAGTTTTACCTGTTGTCAAGTAGATGATCTGAAACAAAAGGACAAGGAAGTCCCACACAGAGGTGTATGGATACAGTCGTGCAGATGTGACGTCAGTGGTGGCAGTCACACCCCCCGTGCTGGGCATTTCAAACATCACTCGGCACTGATGGGAAATAAGATAAGATGAGACAAGAGAAGGCAACAATAAAGTAAGATAAGACAGGAAAAGACAATATTATATGATATGACAAGACAATACAATAATAACATAAGATAAGACAGGATAAGACAATGAAACATGAGGCAAGATAAGACAATATAAGATCAGGTAAGATAAGATAACACAACTTAAGACCAGGTATGATAATATACTGTATTGATATGCTGTGGGTAGAGTTAATACAATTCATGAATATATATATCAGAATAATGAAAGGTAGAAAAGAATTATAGATTTAATTTTCTCCCTAGCGATTAAGTTTTTCTCAAACATACCACTAGTTCAGTTGGTATCTAGATCGTCTTTGGTGCTGACCACCCTGAATGTTGTTCTCATTCTCGAATCATAGCGGTCTCCACCTACTTGGCTCAGCCCTATCGGACCCGAAGGTTTCCATCTTTTACATAACTTTACAGCTTTGAAAGGGACGTGAAAACCCCATACCAAGCCATGCCATATTCCTCCTATAAATACAGAGTTCATCATTACATTTGAAACGGAGTAGGAATGATTTATTTATGAATGTATTTGTTAATGTAACTGTGACGGTTGCATATTGCATCACATTATGAAAGGATTGAAACTTGCAAAGACGACCAAACAAGAACCTTTTGCGTCGCCTACCTGCCAGTAAACTGGTTTATTGTTTTTCTATTACAATGAGATCTCGAATTCAAAACGAGAATTGTCAAAAGGGGGAAATAATCGTGATATCAAAGAATCGTTATTGCAACATTTGCAACATAGTTCATTCCCATTTTTACATTTCAAAACTACATTCATTACAGTAACAATGTATGAACTCTACTGTGCACCAGATTTTCTCATGGGGATAAATGAACATGAAAATTATTTAATTCATTATTATGAAACAGTTAACTGAATATCTTAGAACAACGTATTATCGCAGTGTAATCGTTTTCTGCCTGACCTGTGTAAAGAGCCTCGTATTAGCATTCAGTACAGTCAAGTGGACCAACAGCGCTCGACTCTTTTGATCTAACCAGCCACTGGATACTAAGTCTGCTAAGGTCCCTGCTACAGCGTTCCTTGAACCTCTCAGCAAAGCCTTGTACCCTCCTGGGCCGTAGCTGAACCTCTGACCAAACTGGACAAGATCATCGTGGTTTTCAGAGTATGTGAACGCTGACTCGTTACAACTTTGACCACACGTCAGCCAACCTGCAAAATGTCAATATGTACAGTTAGTTGAACAGACGTTAAAAGTTCTAAGCCCAAATTTTTCATGAGAAAGAAAAAGACTGTTTTATTTCTTTAAACAAGCATACTGTATTAATCTTTTCTTGCCCTTTTTCAACATTAAGATGTTAAATATTGACAAAACTATTTCTTAAGCACATGAAACCGATAACACAGATTAACAAACTGCAAGGTCCCCCCCCCCCCCCCCCACCGACCCCACCCAATTGTTGGGTTTAATGTGCGAACAGCTGTCCGATGTTATGCTTTAAATGCTGGCTAAAGACACTTCTAGTGCAACGTTTATAAAATTGTTTACCCCCCCCCCCCCCCCCGCCTGCCTAAATATAGAGATGCGGAGTAGGACTCAAATATTAACTGTAAGACGCGAAGAAAACGCAGGGTTCCATCCTATTAAAAAATGTAAACCTATTATGAACAATTTTTAAATGTTCAGCAAAACTAGGTTAATAGTAGGGTGATAATATGAGACCAGATGAAGCGATATTCCGCCAGTCAAAAAAAAAGATAGTTTAACAGAACTTTTTAAATATGAGATTAGAAAAACATATCAGCAAATGATAACGAAATACAAAATATAACCCTAACCAATATTATTAATTACCAGGGGCAAAATGTCCTGTCTCCTCCGAGTCCTGGCTGTAGTCGTGACAGCAGCGAATAGAATTGGAGAAAAACTTGGCGATTGGTCTGGGAACGAGACGGGAACCTAGAAAGTGTGGTAGAGGAAAGAAATTTGAATTGTAAACAGATTACTTATAAACCTGAACACAAACACACTTAGCACAAATAAGTAAACACACAAACACACACACAAACACTTCAATCTTCTGGCAACGTGTTCTTTATAGCTCTGTGTCCACTCAGGTGGTCAAATTTTCCGCTTTCGGATTAGAGCTGTGCCCTCTTGCACTTTACAAGATACATAACGGCAACAACAGCAACAATAACAACAACAATCAATCACAAAAGGATCATCATCATCAAACACAACAAATACAACAGCAAAAATGGCAGCAGCAGCAGCAGTAACAACAGCAACAACAGCAACAACAGCAACGCCAACAACAACGCCAACAAGAACAACAACAACAACTAGAGGAGGAGGAGGAGGAGGAAAAGGAGGAGGAGGAGGAGGAGGAGGAGGAGGAGGAGGAGGAGGAGGAGGAGGAGGAGGAGGAGGAGGAGGAGAAGAAGAGGAAGAAGAAGAAGAAGAAGAAGAAGAAGAAGAAGAAGAAGAAGAAGAACAACAACAACAACAACAACAACAACAACAACAACAAATAACAACAACAAATAACAACAACAAATAACAACAACAAATAACAACATCAATAGGGACGAGAAATTCCACTCCTATTGAATTGCTTTGGTGCCATATAGCGCACCTTGGACTCGGTATTGCATTAACCGGATTGGACCCAGTCGGTAGTGCTCCAGGTCGGAAGTGAATCTTCGTTGGTAGGGGCTCATTGGAACGTTGTTTGGCCACAAGGTAGGCGTGACTTTCTGCAGGAAATGGTTATGTAGCCAGTCCCAGATATCGTCAATGGTCTGAACGGGACGCTGCGGAAATTAAGAAAAACAACCCGTTCTTGATACATTATGCGGCTGGTCGTATGAGAGGGGGGGGGGGGCTATCTCGTAACTTGGGCGAGGCTTCAAGTGTGCTCTGATTTTGGTGAAAAGGAGGAAAAGAGAGAGAGAGAGAGAGAGAGAGAGAGAGAGAGAGAGAGAGAGAGAGAGAGAGAGAGAGAGAGAGAGAGAGAGAGAGAGAGGGTGGGGAGGGGGAGAGAAGGGGGAATAGATAGATCGATAGATCGATCGATAGATAGATAGAAAAATAGATATAAAGATAGAGAAGGAAAAACATGCAAATCATTGTTTAGACATCTAATCAGTGGCGAAAGTTCCGAGGTCGAATCCATACACTGCCAGATTTGAAAATGAGCTTTGTAAAGAGGGCAAATAGACCTGTAATGCTTTTTAAAGACATTAGAAAGACATTTGTTTATTCACACGGGTTTGGTTTGTTTTTTCTAGGAGTTTTACGGCGCTCCCAACTGCATAAGGTCATATGAGCGCGCGAAACACAAGATGGTTGCATTCACAACAGTTCACTGCACGGCTGGGTTCGGGTCAACAATCAGTTTTAAAATGTTAAAATGTTTTTAAAAATGAGGTTATTTACCTTAGTTTTTAAAATAACTTTTAAATAACATTAAAAATTGCATTTCAATTTTATTCACAATTTGCCGTAAAGGCCAATGTCCTTTATAAAATCTAGGATTCTGTTGGGATCAACGACGGAAAACAGATCTAGCAATTTTTGCATCTAAAATATTTCCTTCGGCTCTCTCCGAAGTCTAGACATTAGGCTAAAATGTATCTAATGGTAAAATCTGTGTCGCATCCGACACAGAACGAATTCTCATCTCCCTGCAGGAGGTATTTATGTGTTAGGGCCGTGTGTCCGATGCGTAATCGAGTAAAAATGACTTCGTCTCTTCTGAAGAGGTCCGAAGGTTTTTGTGGACCCAGTTTGGGCTTGATGTTGGGGAGTTTGTTGCTAATTTGATTTCTCCAATGAGTCTCCCACAGACTGGAGGTGCAGTTTTTGACTTTATTTTTAAGTCAGTCTGTGGGAGAGTATTCGTCGTTGATTCCAACAGAAGGGATAAGGACCCCTTCGCCAGGATATTATCTGACTGCTCGTTTCCTCGGATGCCCATATGGCTAGGTAGCCTTGCGAACGGGATGTTTTCCCCGGTTTCAGCTAAAGTGTGTGTGTGGTTGGGTTTTTTTTGTAATCTAAATATTTTGGGGTGTAAGATTGTGTAGTTTGTAAAAGAAGTGACACAAGACAGAGTCAGATAGGATACGGAAAGATTTGTTAGGAGAATTTTCTACGGAGTCCAGTTGCATTCACACGGGTTTAAGAAACTACACTGATTTGACAGGGAATAGAGAGGCGAAAGCGAATAAATATCAATGTCCCATCTTCTTCTTCCATGTCGCTTAGAATATAGAATGAAGAAAACATCGGAAAAGTGCAACCTCGTACCCCGTTGACAGTATTCGCGAGCATTTGCTCTTTGATGACATTGTTTTGGTAGAAAGATGTGCACACATCAGAGTGCAAAGCGACCACGCCCACGAGAATCATCATGGCGGTCCGGTAGCCAAACCCTTTGAGGACATGGCGCATGCGCTCTTGTAGATTGAGCTCCTTCCGTCGTCTGCGCAGCTCGCGGCCGTCTTCTAGAGGTTCTGGGCACGGGGTGGGACACGGTGGGACAGGTTCTGTGGAGAAAATCAAACTAGGATGTCCAAGAGTTTTGTGAATAATAATAATAATCATCATCATCATCATCATCATCATCATCATAATAATAATAATAATAATAATTATTATTATAATAATAATTTTTTTTTTTTAAATAATAATAATAATAACCAATGAAACAGGGGTGACCTTTTTTCTCAAAATACAAACAAACAAACAAAAACACCTCCAAAACTAACAAAAAACAAAACAATCTCCCCCAACCCCCGCCCCCAAAAAAACAAAATAAAACCAAACTCAAAAGCAAAAGTGAAACAAATGTATACACATGACACCAGGACAGGTCATACTTGCTTAAGTTATCATGGTCTGTAGTTTGCGAGGTATTGACGATATGACAGTAATAATATAGCTTTGATGTGGTATCCTCTCACAGCCTTTTCAAACGAAGGTATGTACTTTTGAAGGTGGATCCTCCAATCTATTGTCTATCTCCGACAGAAAAGAGACGACGGAAAAACCACAAAATATCAAACAAACCCACGTATCTACACATACCAAGCTACAATGCACACGTTATGAAATGACCCCCCTCCCCTCCGAAAAAAGAGAAAAAGAAAAAGAAAACAAACATGCAAATCAGAAACTGGGAAGGTTTTCGAACCTAAATAAAAGGTTTCTAAACAAAACATCAGAGCGACATACAATTGAAACAAAAGACAACACACTGATTCAAAAAGCTGCCGCCCTGTGTTTCATCGTAATACATAATGTACTTTATTAGTTCCTGAAGTGGTGCGGGAGGTACAGGTATACTAGCTTTGCCATTTTGACAGCAGAATGTGTTTCTCTCTTCTTTCTATCTTATGGCATTGAAATGTTCACAGACGACACTGAATTCACCACTTACTTACTTACTGCCCGTTACGCCATCTGGTGTTTAGGGCAGCAACAAAGGATCTCCAGCTCTGTCTGTTATGTGCCGTCTTGGTCACTCCCCCCCCCCCCCACGAATGGTTCCAGAACTTCATTTCAGACCCTACTGTGCGTCTCCAGGTCACTTTGGGTCTTCCTCTCTAGCAATGTCCTTCGGGTGTCCAGTGGAGGGCAATCTTTACAATAAAGTCTGGTTCTCTTCTCAGAACATGCCCAATCCATCTCCATCTTCTCCTTGTTATTATGGTGGTCATGTCCTCTTGCCTACATTTCCGTAAAAGATCTGCGTTGGGATTCAGGTCGCGCCAGAAGATTCGGAGTATTTTGCGTAAGCTGGTTGTATGAAAAGGAAAAGAAGATAGCTTGGCACGATCGTGATCAGTCATCCTTCAGCATTCAGATCCATATAGGAGTGTGGATAGTACACAACTGTTATACAGCTTTAACTTGGTCTGTATACTGAACTGTCCTGACTTCAGATGTAGATAATGCTTCTGTGTACAGACCTTGCCTTGCCGAGTCTGTTCATGATGTCTTCCTTTGGGTCGCCGTCAGCTTTAATTATGCTGCCAAGGAGTGTAAATATTTGTCTGTTATAGGCAGGTCTGCGTTGTTCACCCTAATCAGCGTTGGGGAGCCTACATTCAGTGTCATCACTTTTGTCTTCTTCTGGCTTATTCTTGATATGGGAGAGTAGTGCAAGGTCGTCGGCAAAATCAAGATCGTCGATGGTGGAGAAAAGGGTCCACGTTATGCCTCTTCATGTATCCTGTGTTGTTTTCCTCATGACCAAGTCAATGGCAAGGTTGAACAAAATTGCTGACATGTTGCATCCTCGTCTAACCTCTGTTTTTACCTCAAAAGCAGGAATTCACCACATGTGTCTGTAATCTTCCATCAACTTCCGTTTCACTTGCCATTGACTGTGTTTTGCACGCTAAGGCCAACGTTGGCCCATTCTTTCTTGGCATAGCACGCTCAATGCCTTCCTCCAGATTCTAACGATTAGAAGGTAATTAATCCTGATTGATAGTCGTCTTTCTCCGTTTCCTCTAGCTTTTCCCTCTGTTTGCAGGGTGTACACGAACTCTACGTTTAGGGTGCACCTTACTACATTATTAACTTTATTAACTGATATTCCATGGGCCAGTAGAAGCTGCTGAAGTAGAACTCTGTGGCACACACTTGACAAAGCCCAAACGCTAAAATGTCACGCACATGACAAAGCACAAAAGCGAACTTCTGTTTTTAATAACTACTCCAAAAAAGTAGAACTCTTTATCACACACACGACAAAGTACAAACGCTAAAATGCCACGAACATGACAAAGCACAAAACCGAACTTCTGTTCTTGCCAACTACCCACAAACACAACGAAGCACATACCCAAACTGAAGTAGGGCCTAGTCCGCATTAAAATATGAAACGGCTAATGGCAGAGTGAAAACATGAGAGAGTTTCGTATTACTGAAAAAAAGCCATCTCACCTGAAAAATCAAAAGGTAGTTCCCGAACTTTAAAATCATGCCCACGTAACCCTTTGTGACAATTCTTAACTGAATCAAATTTTTGTATATTTTATGGACACCTGTATAAAAAAATGTATACTGACATCACAAACTGGCTAAGTAATAAAAGTAATAATTGCATTTATATGACGCATATCCCCGCTCTACAGCATGCCATAATCATTGTTGGCTTGTAAAGACACAGTAAGGGTCAGTTTTAAATGTTTACGCTACGACCACGCATTCTGGTCAATAATGACCATAACGATTGCTCTTGCTTAACGGCCCAATCTACGTATTTTGGATCATAATTTAGGAGGCTGTAAATCATCTTCTTGAGAACGTTGGTAGCTAATAATTAAAGCAATTTTTAAAAATATTTCCACCCCTCAGATACAAATAAAGACAATTAAGAAAGTGAATTTTTGTTCTTCTCAGGGCCAACCCAGGCTGAGTGGTATGCATCATTCAGCAAAAAGACCCAGACACTTACTAAAATAAATTCTTCTCTTGGAAACTGAACCCGCACATTCTGCGTCGAACATTGAGAAGCCTTAAACGTTTCGTCTTAGACGCTGGTGCACAGTATTTTAGTCAGCCTCAAGATACGTTAACGATGAACGAGTTCAAAGAAAGACTATAAGAAAAAAAAACGAAGCGGCGTCGTGTTTTCGTTAATTTCATGGGTAGTGCCCCCTGCACCATAAAGCGGCGTGTACCTTCCTTTACAATTATATTGTAACATGTGTGGGGTTACTTCTTTACTATTCCCATTTGTTCTGGTAGTGTCGGTAGTGGCTACGGGACTCGTAAACCGGAGATCGTGGGTTGTGGGGGTTTGAGGCTCAGCTCTGTCTGACGTTGTGTTCATATCAAGAAAGGCACTTTACACGAATTTTCCCTTTGGGGTCCGTCCTTCCGAAGATGGATATTGAACTCGGAGACCCCGCCTCTTAAATAGCATTAAAGTGTGGCCCGGGGCAATAACCATTAAAATTGTGCATAGTACTTTTCTTTTTTATACGAGTTGCTCACTTTCCCACAGCATTAAAAGACCGGTCGGTGCTTCTCTTATCTCAAACTATATGTTCGAACTATTTTTTCGGGGATTAAAACACTCAATACTACTACAACATTTTGTATCTGTGTCCGAATCCTCACCTGGCAGAGGCTGCTGGGGGTCAAAGGGCGCAACGACTGACAACTCTGCGACTGCGATCTTCCGAAATAGGCACGACATGACGGCATACAGGAGGAAAATCTGAGAAATCAAGACATCGTTGGAGAGTTAAAAAAACACACTGCGGTTATACTGTATCAGATACTAACAGGTATATACCATGAGTTTGGCGCCCCTTTTAAGACTTCATCAAGACTGTAATCAGGATCATCTACATAATACTCTAGTATGATACTAAAATAATCAGCTGACGGAGCAGTACGTCTTCTCAATCAGAAACCTTTAGGATACATTTGTGAAAGGGGGAAAAGTATTCTATATTTAGTATCTCCATCCTGGCGGTCTCTGGATCCTAGGATCTCCACTTTAAATTTTGGGGATAACGTTTTGTTCTTGCTCCAGAAGCACGAGGCATACATCGAAAGCTCTCAGGACGCAGTTTCAAAGACTGGTTAATAATAATAATAATAATAATAATAATAATAATAATAATAATAAAAATAATAATAATTATAATTATAATAAAAATAAATAGCATTTGTATAGCGCATATCCCCGCTCAACAGCAGGCTCTATGCGCTTTACACTATATTATTACCCCAGCAGACTATAGAACACTCCGAAACATTCTCAGCTTCCCAGGAAGCATACAGTGCAAGCAGCCGATTAAGCGCTCCAACACTAACAAACTGACAAGATCTTTCGCTGTCTATAGCCGGGTACCCATTCCCACCTGGGTGAAATGAGGAAAATTCGAGTAAAGTGCCTTTCCCAAGGACAAAACGTCGGGCCCCTGTCGGGATTCGAACCCGCGACCTTACGGTTGCGAGTCCGAGAGCCTAACCACTAGACCACCGACGCCACGGTTAAGACATTCTGAGATAAACCGTTGTGCTCGCTAAGATTGAAGTCTTACTTTATGATTAACTTTGACCTCTCGAAGAGACCTTCGGACTGTTCTTTGTACACAAACATAATTTATCAATAAATGTACCTGTTAGAAGTCAAAGTTCGATCAAAAGTAATATGTGCAATGTCCATTCAGTCGCTGACAGCGGCTCTTAGTTTTTCCGCTGCTTCCATTCGGCCGCTGTGAGCGGCTCAAAGAAATCCGAAACAAAGGTGCACTTTTTAACATAGTTCCTACTTTTTAAGTTGTCGAAAGGAAGTAGAACTTGTAAACAAACCTGACCTCAACTCCGCGAAATTCTTGCAAAAATCGTTGTTTTGTTGTTGCCATGTAGGCTAGATCTAAGGGTAAACAACACGGAGCCTGGTATAATAAAAAGGCTCTTCAAAGAAAGATATTATTCAACTAAATTTGTGAAATTCTTGCATAAATGTGTGCTAGGGTGACATCGCTACAATGTTGTGTTGATTCCTATGGATTATAAGGACTTGTAGAGCTGAGAAAATAGTCGAAATTTTCGAAGAGCTGTTGCCCAATTTTTTTTTCTCATTCGTTTTGTCATAAGGAAAATGTAATACAAACAGATTATAGGTCATTGTTATTGAAATAAACAGATTCTTCTATTTATTCCCATCAGTTTGGTATATGACAATACATATTAGAGTAACTTACAGCTTCACAGTAATGCATTAAATAGATGCACCCCAGGTCTAAAACTGAACAGGGAAAAATAATTCTGTCCAGAGCCTGGAAAAATCATGGACGGAATCAGTATACAAGATCGTAGGTGAGTATAAAAACACATTGAATGTCTAGTGAGTTCGGAGTTCAAAAGCTGTTTGGTGTATTTTGTTTTGGTAAACGTTAAGTTATTATTCCCCCTTATCTTTGCACACATTGACGACCCCAGCCAGGTTGTTTCTGTCCTTGTAAAACATTATGTCAACCTCACTTTGACCCCCACGGTGACCCCGGATTAGCGTTTTAGGTCAAGTCAGTTTCCTTTTGGGGATGGGGTTGTTGGGGTTGTTTCTTTTTTTTTTTTGGGGGGGGGGTGTTCCAAGTTTAGATTTACCTTTATTCCTATGTTGACTAAAATAAAAGGAAGAAATCTAACCTTCATGGGCTCCAGTACAAAAGTTCCCAAGGAGCTGGAGAAAACGAGGGAGACAATCCACTCGTATGATGTCTGCCCTCCCCACTGCAAGCTGTACAGAAAGGTGAAAGTCGCGCTGACCAAAATAGCAACAACCAGCACCAAGTAAGCGATAAATATGAACCACCAAGGCAGAAAATAATATGTCTTTGATTTAATCCCACTGGCCTCATCAATGACGACATTTTCGTCCAAATACTCGTCCTGGTATTCTGTATTGTCGGAATCATAATACAGTTGGGTGTCCTGGTTTTGAACGGCACAGCCGAGTACACTTTGGTCGCCAAGGGCAGTTGCGTTATCGCCTGTCTTCTGGTTATTCTGCCAGTTGTCGACCATCGGAACCAAGCTGAGAATGATCCCTTTGAGTATACTAGCGTGCTGGTTGTGAGTATCAGGAAGGTTAGCCACAATGTCCCGTAAGGTTTCGTCTTGACAAGGTGATGTGCTTTCAGGTATTGGGCTATTATTTGTAGCTGTGGTTCCTATCTGCTGTCTTTGAAGATGACTGGTCGAGCATCTGATCAAATCGCACTGGTCTCCAGAAAAACCGCTCGGTCGATACTGAGGTAATTTGGGAGCTGTAGAACAGGGGTCATCGGGTACAGTTATACTTCCAAGCATGCTACTAACTCCCGAGATCCTCCTCGTAGATTGAATATGCTCGGAGGGAACTTTAGAAGTCATCGTTGTGTTGTCTTTTTGGTTCTTGAGACGGCGGCGAGTGAAGAACACCGTGATGAGGAGGCCTGGTAGGAGGACGACCACTGCAGAGACGACACCCACATATACCTGTCTAGGGAAGAGAAAAAATATCACAATAATGAAAAGTTTTCTCTTTTTTGTATCACTTCACGACTTCGGAATTACAACGTTCTATCTGCTCAGTAACTAGTTTTGAAAAATTTGACGTAAAAGATTTTGAGTTTCACAACATGTCAAGCTTTTTCGAATGCAGTTCTTTGAAAGGCTTGATAACGACTCTAGAAAATCTTACGATTTCGATAGAGCAGACATAATATTTGGTTTCTGACTGCAAGGTCTTGGTAACTTAAAACAGCCAAAAAACGTCAGATTGAACCTTGTAATTCTAAGGTAGCAATTTGCCAATGAGTTTCCATTTTAGAATGTTCATCACCCCCATTTGTTTTTAAAATATTGTATTTCTGGAAAGTAGATGATGATTCTACTTCACATCCTGTACAAGACTCTTGTTCCATGGCGAAGTAGCCTATGACACAACAACACCGTAAGAATTTGTTTTCGAGTACCGCAATCTTTTTTTAAAGATAATATCTCGACCATATTATGACCATACAGACCATATTATGATCATAAACTATAATACTATTTCACACCCTTTTTGCTGTCTCACACACATTTCATTTCTTATTTAACTCCGAACCCTGTTCACCCCTGGCGTATTACCCTATTATTTAAATACCAAAGCATATATGTGAATTGGTTCAGAAGTGAACCTTTCAGCTCGCACAGACACGGATGTTTACTAGTATGTTGAGCTTCGACCTCTCCTGGAGGGATTCAGACATGTCCGCCATTCTACCTGTATCCCAAAGCTAAAGGTCCGAGAGTGAGCTCCGAGCCAGTGTCCGATTGCTCGTCTTCACCAGCCGGGCCGTAGAACATAGCACTGACCAGCATACTCAGGTACAGCAAGGCGAGGGCAGTAAGGTAGCGTTGTACGCGTGTGAACGTGCTGCAGAGAGATAGAAAGGGCGTGAAAATGGTGAAATGGTATAGGTTTAACTCCCCTATCATCACTGTTAGGTTATATAAGAGGCGGGACCTCTGAGTTTAACGTCCATCTCCGAAAAAAGGACTGAGCCAAGTGGGAAATTCTTGAAAAGTGCCTTTCCCAAGGACACAACATCGCACCGAGCTGAGACCCGAACCCCGAAACCCGCAATCTCACGATTACGCCACGGAAAGGGCGTGGATGAAATGGAATGTAGAGAGGATGAGTTAGTTATGAGCTTCTTTTCTGCCTACTGGTGGTATATTGATACTGTTAGTTGAATGGGAATTCAAACATTTGTAGTCAACGAACAGTTGAATATGTAAAAATGGAGTTATGAGTCTACAAGCTCTTAAAATTGATCATCATCATCATAATCCAGTGCCAGTTCTGCGGCTGACATGGGCGATCAAGGTTATCCATTCATTCCCTTTCTCGGATACTCTTAAAAAAGCTATGTTTCCCTAATCATTCCCCGTTACCCATTTGTTCAGGTTCCCCAAGTAAGTTGTTCTGGGCCTACCCCTCCCTCGTTTGCCTTCAATTTTGCCAGTGCGAGCAAGATGTTCAAGACCGTTATGTCTATTCAGGTGTCCCAAAAACTGCATTTGTCGTTTCCTGATTGTCTTTAACAGTGAGCGTCCCACGTGGGCTTCATCAAGCACTACCTCATTCTTTTCCTTCATATGAAACCTCCTTTTTCTGTTGCTTCTATTTTCTTAAAATTAAAACTGATACCCTCACGAATTCCAGTTTGAGATGACGCCAGTTTATCATTGAGCCCTTCATATCTTATCTCACCTGTAGGTAGGTCGACGGGCCAACGAGAGCCACAGGTGGTCCTGGTACAGCCGTTGCCTGGATAAAGCGCTGGTCACGTGAGACGAGGTAAGCAGAGGGAGGTTGCGGCTGATGTGACCATCGGCACGAGTGAGGGAGAGCCAGTCCTCGCATACGAATAGGTAGCTAGGGAGATATAGGTAGTTATTGGGAGTTGCTGATATTAGTAGTTTGATAGATAGATAGATAGATAGATAGATAGATAGATAGATAGATAGATAGATAGATATGGTGGGTGTTGATTTTGGCAGTTGCTGTTATTGAAAATTGTGACTATTGTTCGTTGCTGTGTTGATGTTGGTAGTTGGTCTTACTCCTACTCGCTGATAATAGTGTCATGTTGCTGATGTTGCTATTCGTAGTTAATGTTACTAGGATGAGTTGTTATCGGCATTTGTTGCTGTTATTGGGAACTGTTGTTATTGGCAGGTGTTGTTCTTGGTAGTGATTTTTGTCGGTGATTGTTGCTATTGGCAGGGATGTGTTGGCAGTTGTTGCTTTTGGTAGTGATTGTTGTTGGCGATTGCTGCTATAAACTATAATTTTGTTGGTGGTTGTTGTTATGGAAGTTTTGGTGTTGTGTTGTTAAGATGATTGCTGTGGCCGTTGTTGGTTTTTGTTACTGGCTTCCGGTGCTACAACTTGAAATTATAGTGTTGTCATCGTCTTTGATCTTGTTATTTTTGTAGGAGTTTTTTGTTGTTGTGGCTGTTGTTGTCATTGTTGTTGTTGTTGTTGGTGACGATGATGATGATGATGATGATGATGATGATGATGGCGTCATCACCCATTTATTTTTCTCAAATACTATGTTCCTGATGAAGCCTTATTGGCGAAACGTTGAACTGTGAAATATATTTGGGGGGGGGGGGGGAATACAACAAGGTCTTAACTGTTTTAATACCTTCTTTATACAATAATGATGATGATGATGATGATGATGATGATGATGATGATGATGATGATGATGATGATGATGATGATGATGGGGATGATTTTGTTATTGTTTGTTGGTGGTGGGTGGGGGTGTCAGTTGTGTTGGTGTGTGGAGATATGATTGATTGATTGATTGATTGATTGATTGGGTAGATGTTTTACGGTACTATCGACACAATTTTGGTCATTTAAGTGCCAACAGGTTTCACCGCTACAAAATCAGACGTGTTTTAGTAAGAGTCCTTTGGAGCTCGCAACCGCACACGATCACACTATTTTCATTATGCTAAAAAGACGAACAAACATTTATAAAAATTTTTGTAAATATGGAAAAGGCTTATTTACATTTGTATATACAATATTAATGTCAGTGTATGTATATATACACCGATAATGATAACTATATATTTTCATATTCTATTAAATAGTCCAATTTCTTTTACATAACTTAAAATTTTTCTAGGGTCTACGATGTCAAAAAGGGTAGGGTCTTAATATCTTTACATTTAAAATATTTCTTACGAACATCATTAAATTTGACACATTACGTTAGGATGTGCCGAACTGTGAAACTTGTGTTGCACGCCACGCAAAAAGGAGCGTCCTCTCCTTCGAGCAAATGTTTGTGCGTGACGTGCGTGTGTCCTATCTTTAGTCAGGTAAAAATTATTTTTTCTCTTCGTAGGAGAGATAGTGGTTTCCTGGGCGTAAGTTTCGGTTGAATGTAATTGAGTTTGTTGTGTATTTGTTGATTCCAAATTTGGGACCAGGAGGATGTGATGTGTTCTTTTACTTTCGGTTTCATGTCAGAGAAAGGGATTTTACTATTTCTGTTTTCAGGTAGTTTTAGAGATTCTTTGGCAAATTGGTCAACGGCTTCGTTGCCATCAATGCCTACATGGCTTGGAAGCCAAGCTATTGTAATAGTTTTCCAGACTGATGTAGAAAATGCAGTTAAGTCTTAAAATTTTATTGTCGGAGGTGTCAGAGCGCTCTAAAGATTTCAGACAAGAGAGAGAATCTGAAAGGATTAGGAAAGTAGACTTGGTTGATTGATCTATTATATTTAGGGCCATTTCAAGAGCTGTAGCCTCAGCAGTGTAGACTGAGGCTTCTGGGTGGAGTTTCCTTAAGCTTAAGCTGTGTGGCCATGCAAGGGCAGCAGCTCCTACTGAGGAGTCATTTTTGGATCCGTCTGTAAAGAGTTTCTCTGCTTCAGGGTATCTATTTATTAGCTGTTTGTATGAGTTTAAGTATGTAGTTTTGTCTGTAGACTTTTTGTTGTGTTTTTCAAGACTAGTATCTATGTTTGGTTTGGTTAAATGCCATGAAGGTATGCTGGACATGGCAAAGGGCTCGATTATGTCTATAGAAAAATCAATGTCTTTGAGATCGTTCTGGATTCTTATTCCGAAAGGGCTTACTTTATTTCCTAAGGAGGATAGGGTTTTAGATCTTCGGGAAGGCCAAAGACACATTTGTGGGCTGGGTTTTGGGGTACTGAGCTAAGTTTCAAAGCGTACTGCAAAGAGAGTTTTTTCCTTCTAAGTTCTAAAGATGGTTCATGAGCTTCTGCCTGTAAACTTTCTACAGGGGAAGTACGGAAAGCGCCTAGGTCAAGGCGAAGGCCTTGGTTTTGAACAGGGTCTAAAATGTTAAGGTAAGACTTTCTAGCTGATCTGTAAACAGGACTGGCATAGTCCAACCTGGAACGGACAAGGGAACGGTAAAGTTGAAGAAGTATTTCAGTATCTCCTCCCCATTCGAGATTGGATAATACTTTTAAGGCATTGAGAGCACTCTGACACCTCGTCTTTAGGTCTTTCAAATGTGGCAGGAAAGAAAGTTTATTGTCGAAGTTACGCCCTGGAAACAAGCTTGTTTTTTAACAGGAATTTTCTCCCCAAACAAATATAAATCTGGATGTCGCACACACTTGTGTGGAGATCAAAATGATAGGACGATAATAATAGTAAGATAGCACGTAAGCAGCTTTGATGGTTTCTTCATACGTTCGTTTTTCTCCTCCTGATGACATCGCTGATACACACGTATGATAGGAAGTGCTACCAAAGAATAGAAACAAAGAAACTAAGCAAGTTAAATCATTATAGATTCAATAAATGTACAGAAATCGCAAACAATTTTTCATTGCTGTTTGGCTAGGTCTTTCGTCGATAGATACAACGAGATTAAAGTGACTGGATTTTGTTGTTTTTGTTTGTTTTTGTAACGTGTTTTACGACGCTCGCAACTGCATAAGGTCATATGAGCGCGCGGAACACACCTAATATTTTCAGTTGGTAGGAAATTTTGAATTTTGCCCGGGTGGCGGCCGAAGCCTACTCTTATCGATTTTAGACCACCAAGGGATCTTTAACGTGCGCAACTTGCACACGGGCCCTCCGAGATTTTTCGCCCTTGTCCGAGAAGGCTAGGTGTAGATCTTTCCTACCAGAAGATCAGGGGTGTGGCAGAAAGACAGCAGTAAGGAGGAGCCAAGGAGTAGCAGTAGAAAGGCTGTAGAAAGAATCAGGAGCCCAGAGGAGGGGGCAAAGGAGGTGAGGGGGTGGGGGCATTAAGTGGAAATGAAAGCAGACAACAGAACATTGATAGAGAGCAGGAAAGGAGATGAAAGGAGACAATTTTAGAGAAGAAATTTTTTGGTCGCTACCCGGATTCGAACCCGGGACCTTTGAATGAGAGGCCAACACCTTAACCTCTAGGCCACGAGAGCCCCCAAAGTGACTGGATTTGTTGATAGATGCAATAGCAAACGGTACTAAAATCCACAATTGACTCTGAGTGTAAAGTTTAAGCAAAACTGTAAGAAAGCCCAACTTCATTGTTTTTTCCTCAAATTTATCTTACCGCTTCAGTCCTTCGAGAAAGATCCAAATGAAAAATAAAATTGTGACTGCATTCGTAACGTTATTGTTTATTAATCTATAATTTTATAGTGTTCATGAATCCCCACACACCGGCGTCTCTGGTACACCTGGATACCTGGAGGTGTCATCTCTGACTCACAGGTTGACATATAATGACCCTCCATCTTTCACGGTTACGAGCTGCCGTTGCACATTCTGCCATACCTAGGCCAATCCATGTCCTTATGTTGTCCATCTATGTTATTCTTTGCCTTCCTTTGGCTCTCCTGTCCCACAGCTTTCCTTCATGCACCTCTTACACAATGGTCTCGTGTCGTTTTAAATGGTCTTAGTATTGTATTTTTGACATGTTATTTTGTTCAGCAGGGTTTGTCTTGTGTATAGAATCTGCCGCACCTCTTTGTTAGTCTTTTTTTTGCTTTCCATCTTATTTTGACCATTCTACGGTAGCACCACATCTCAAACACATTGTATTTTGTTTTCTTCTTTCCGTGTGAAAGTCTGTGGTCTAGCGGTTGGGAAATTTCGCTGTCGCACGCAGGAGACCCAAGTATGAGTACTGAATAGGGAGAAAATGTTTATTGAGTTATCTCATGTTTTTGTGTGTGGAGGGTGGGGGGTGGGTTGCAGGGTCGAATCTCTCTCTACGCTAGTAAGCCCTGATAGGCAGGGCCAAAAGCCCGCCTACGAAATGATTTCAACTGCGTCAATGTTTTAATTTTTTTCGGGGGGGGGGGGGCTGGCGCACAAATACCTGCATTTAGGAAAAGAATCCTCACCTGCTTCCAAACGCCAGATCTTGAACGACCACGTGATGCAGCATCCAGTCTGGACTCTCACCCCCAGCGTCTGTCCACACCCTCAAAGACACCAGCTGACCCAGCCAGACAGGAGAATGTAGCACGAAGTTACTCACTGTGCCGCTCTCGAAGTTCTGGAGACAGCAGTCGGGGGAGATGAAATTTAATTCGGTTGTGTTGTCTGTCCGACTGCCCGTCTGTCTGTCTGTAAGTCTGTCCGTCTGTCCGTCTGTCCGTCTGTCTGTCTATCTCTTTCCCTTCTCTCTTTCTCTCTCACTGACTCTGTTTCCACCTCTCTCTATTATATAATGTTTGTATAAAAATATATAATTATATATTCATATTACTTACTTACTTACTACCCATTACGCCATCTGGCGTTTAGGGCAGCAACAAAGGATCTCCAGCTCTGTCTGTTTTGGGCCATCTTAGTCAGCGTTCCCCACGAATGATTCCAGGACTTCATTTCAGACTCTACTGTGCGTCTCCAGTTCACTTTGGGTCTGCCCCCTTTGCGACGTCCTTCGGGTGTCCAGTGGAGGGCAGTCTTCACAATAGAGTCTGGCTTTCTGCTCAGGACATGTCCAATCCATCTCCACCTTCTCTTTTTTATTATGGTTGTCATGTCCTCTTGCCTACATTTACGTAATAGATCTGCGTTGGATATCTTGTCGGGCCAGAAGATTCTGAGGATTTGGCATAAGCTGGTTGTATGAAAGGAAGATAGCTTGGCACGGTCATGATCAGTCATCCTCCAGCATTCAGCGCCATATAGGAGTGCGGATAGTACACAGCTGTTATACAGCTTTAACTTGGTTTGTATACTAAACTGTCCTGACTTCCAGATGTTGATCATGCTTCTGTGTACAGATCTTGCCTTGCCGAGTCTGTTCATGATGTCTTCCTTTGCGCCGCCGTCAGTTTTGATTATGCTGCCTGGGTAGGTAAATGTGTCTGTTATAGGCAGGTATGTGTTGTTCACTCTAATCAGCGTTGGGGAGCCTACATTCAGTGTCATCACTTCTGTCTTCCTCTGGCTTATTCTTAACCCAATCTGGCGTCCGTATTTGTTGAGTCCGTTTGTTTGTTCCTGCATGTGCTGGTTGGTATGGGAGAGTAGTGCAAGGTCGTCGGCAAATTCAAGATCCTCCAGGGTGGAGAAGAGGGTCCACTTTATGCCTCTTGGTGTATCCTCTGTTGTTTTCCTCATGACCCAGTCAATAGCCAGGTTGAACAGAATTGCTGACATGTTGCATCCTTGTCTAACTCCTGTCTTTACCTCAAAAGCAGTGGTACTGTTTCCAACAACGCACTTGAAGTTTTTGTAGAAGCTCTTGATGACCTCCACTATCTTGCCAGGGATTCCATAAGATCATAGAATGTACCAAAGACTTTCTCTATGCACACTGTCGAATGCTTTTTCAAAATCAACGAAGTTGACATAAAGGTGTCTCTGCCATTCCGTGCACTGTTCTATTATGTTGCGGAGGGCAAATATCTGATCTGTGCATCTTCTTTCTTTGCGGAATCCTGCCTGTTCTTTTCTTAAGCAGCTGTCTACGGCATCCGACATCCGATTAATAATAATCTTGGCTAGGATCTTGCTGGGGACTGATAACAACGTGATACCTCTCCAGTTGTTGCAGTCTCTAAGAGCTCCTTTCTTTGGTACTTTAACAATGACTCCAGTGCTCCAGTCCTCGGGAATCTGTTCTCCCTCCCATATGGTTTTGAATAGAGGTTGAAGAATGGCGGCAGTCAGTTCTGGGTCTACTTTAAACAATTCAGCATTCAGGTTGTCCATTCCTGGAGATTTTCTTGTTTTCATGCTCTTAACAGCTTTTACAATCTCTTGTTTCTGTGGTGGGTCAGAGCTGATATCAAGACCCAAGGTAGGTTCCTGTATGTCTGGGGTGTCCTCAGGAGGAGGTTGGTTTAGGACTTCCCTGAAGTGTTCTGTCCAGCGTGCTTCCTGTTCCTTCTCGATTGTCAGCAGCTTGCCAGCCTTGTCTTTGATTGGTCCACTCATTCCACCGTGGTACTTGCCACATATTATTCTTGTGATCTTGTATACGTTGCCTTGTTCACCTTTAGCAGCTGCCTCCTCTGCCTCGCCAACTTTTCCATGGCTTCTCTTTTGTCCTTCCTGACCAGTCTTTTAACTTTCTGGCAAGCTTCCTTGTTATCCTCTGCGTACTTCTCTTGTAACCGTATCGATTTAGCTGCAAGCTGTCTTTCTTTATTTCTCTCCGTTCTTCAATAGTATTCCAAGTTCCTTGCTGTATCCATTCTTTGTTTGAATTCTTTTTCTTGACAACAATACATGTCTTACTGCTTTCTGTGTAGGCCTCAACAATATGCTTCCATTGGGTATTGACTTCATCTGTATTGGGGGTGGTTTCTTCCAGGTCTTGGAGAGCTTGAAATCGGTTATTTAGTTCTAGTCGGAAGGCAGATCTCACATTGCCTTCACTGAGCTTGTAAACATTAAATCGTGTCCTTGTCGCCTCCTTGGTGAATGTTTTCTTTAGCTTGAGTTTTATCTTTGCCGTCACTAGATGGTGATCAGTGCCGACATCTGCTCCTCTTCTGACTTTCACATCCTGTAGGGAGCGTCTCCACATTCCTCCTAGCATAAGGTGGTCAATCTGGTTCTTGTCCCGGCCATTTGGAGAATTCCAGGTCAGTTTGTGGATTGTACGGTGTGGGAAGACGGTTCCGCTTATCACCAAGTTGTTCAATGCGCAAAAGTCCACTAGCCTAGTATATTCACATACATCTTAATTATTATATGAGACTGAAAGACAGAGAAAAAGAGAGAGGGGGGGGATCACCCCCTTAAGGAATAGTTTAGATTGAAACGATCATTTCCTTAGCCCTTAGCATACAGTGCACTATACCACCTCAATACGCAGCCAGTTTCATCATCCAACTTTTTCAGAAAAATTAAAACTTTCGTATAAGATAGACACCAAACTGTGTAGTAATGAATCAACCATGCAGTAAACACGCAGTCTGATTATAATGGATTAGCCGGGGATTCGTAGTTTTTATTCTGACTGCAAACAACAGGGCGTGGCCATGTGACAGCTGAACTGACGCCGCATAGTTAAGGAACACACACACACACACACACACACACACACACACAC